ATGGTTTGTATTTTATATAATTATTTATGATTAAACATAATAATAAAATATATCGCTTTATTATAATATTTATAAAGAATTTGTAAAATATAATTATTTTATAAATTATAAATAAATTTATAAAATAATAATAATATATTAATGTTAATAATATATTACATGTAATTATAAAATATATGACATATTGATTTTTTTTACTTTAAAAATATATTATTATAACTAATAGAACCTATTTAATTTAAAGAAATTTATTATATTTTATATATTTTTCAGTTTCGTAATCAATATGATAGTGATGTCACAATTTGGAGTCCACAAGGACGTTTACATCAAGTAGAATATGCAATGGAAGCTGTAAAATTAGGATCAGCCACTGTAGGACTTAAAAATAAAACTCATGCAGTCCTTATTGCACTCAAAAGAGCTTCTTCAGAATTATCTGCTCATCAGAAAAAAATTTTCCCTATAGATAAACATATGGGAATTTCTATTTCAGGTTTAACAGCTGATGCTAGAATGTTAAGGTATGTTGTATATTGACAATGACAAAATATTGATTATTTTATATATTATATTATTTTATATCTTGTTAAAAATATATTATTTTATATCTTGTTAAAAATACAATTATTGCAAAATCTTTAATAAATTATCAATAAAAAATTTATTTATCTATTTATAGTCGATATATGAGAACTGAATGTTTAAATTATAAATATTCTCATGATGATCTATTACCCGTGAGTCGTTTACTTGCATCTTTGGGAAATAAATTACAAACATGTACTCAAAGATATGATAAAAGACCATATGGTGTAGGTTTACTTATTGCAGGATATGATGTAAGTAGTTATGAAATATTAAATATTATTTATTGAAGAATAAACTAATATTAAAATATTATAAATTTTTTTTAAAGGATCAAGGACCACATATTTATCAAACATGTCCTTCATCAAATTATTTTGATTGTAAAGCAATGGCTATTGGTGCACGTTCTCAAAGTGCTCGTACATATTTAGAAAAACATCTTAATGAACTTCTATCATGTGATCTGGATGAATTAATAAAACATGGCCTTTGTGCATTAAGAGATACATTGCCAAATGAGGTTGATTTATCAGTGAAGGTAATAAATGTACTTTTCTACAATATATTAAATAAAATTAATATATAAAAATAAAATTAATATATGAATATAATAAGAATAATTATTATATTACAGAATGTATCTATTGCAATAGTAGGAAAAGGTACAGATTTCAAAATATTTAATGAAGATGAAATTTCTGTTTATTTATCTCAAATTGAAGATGATAAACGTAATAAACCTGAACCAGATGTAGAAGATTCTAAACCTCCACAACCTCCATCTTCTGATGAAAATCCACAAGACCCACAAGTTACAGTTGCAATGGATACAGATTAAAAATAATGTAATATATTTTATAATATATTTTCTGTATACATTCAAAATGAACATTTGTATTTTATGTTTGTATTTTTCCTACCATTATATTCAATACAATAATAGAATATCATAGATTATGAAAATTTTGTTAATTTTCAATATACTACATTTTATATATAATATAATTACAAGTATTTCTATTAACTTAATGCACAAATTTACAATAATTTATATTATAATATATATGAATTTTGTATTATATAATATAAAATTCATATAAATAATTATGAATATTCCAATAATTATAATTAAAAGAAATATATTTATTGATTTTCAGCCTGTTTATTTCTACGTCTTTTTAATATATTTGTTAAAAAAAATTCTCCAGCTTTATATGATGAACGTACTAATGGACCACTTGCAGTATATAAAAATCCTAATTCATTTCCTATATTTTCCCATTTTTTAAATTTTTCAGGTGTAACATACTCAATAACTTTTAAATGTCTTTTTGTAGGTTGCATATATTGTCCGAGTGTTAAAGCATCTACACCAATTTCTCTTAAATTTTTCATTGTTTGTTCAATTTCTTCATCAGTTTCACCTAATCCTAACATTATTGATGATTTTGTAATTAATTCTGGATTACATTTTTTTGCTATTTTTAAAACCTTCAGTGATTGCCTAAACAATATATAAAAAAGTATGTATATAAATTTTAATTAAAAAAATAAATATAGAATATAATTCACCTATATTCAGCTCGTCTATCTCTAACAAATGGAGTTAAACGTTCAACAGTTTCAATATTATGAGCAAACACATCAAGATTAGAATTAACAATTATTTCAATACAATCTTTATTTCCTCTAAAATCTGGTACCAAACATTCTACTAAAATATTAGTTCTGCAAAAATATATAAGATATATACAAGAAATCTTTATTCTATATGTAAGTAATGAATTATAATAATATATATAATATATATAATAATATATATAATAATAAGAAATATAAAAATGAAGTGATTTTATATACCTTTTTTTAATTTCTTTCACTGTTTCTGCAATATGATTAGCTCCACCATCATTTAAATCTATTACAATATATAATTTTAATATAAAATGCATAAAAATTTTAATATATACATAAATTAAAAATAAAAAAAGACCTAACCATCTCTGTCTACTGATGTTAATACAACATAATCCAAACCCCAATCTGTTATTGCAATTGCTGTATTTATTGGTTCTTCTGGATTTAAGGGTAATGGTGTACGTGATGTTTTTACAGAACAGAAACGACAACCACGGGTACATGTATCGCCCATTAACTATATTAAATTATTTTTCATATATTATATTTTTATAATATAATTAATTAATTTTTTTAGATTGTTATCAAAAAATTATAATTTAAATAAAAAAATGAAATTATTTAAGTATATAATAAAATACTTTATATAATAAATTCATTCATATAATTTGTTTATTTTCAATTTTAATATTAAATATTACTAGAAAGCATATTTTTAATTATTTTGGAATAAAAATATAAAGTAATGAGATATTTTAAATTAATAATACAAACCATAATAGTAGCAGTTGCTGTTCCATGTGTACCACCTCCCCAACACTCCCCAATATTAGGACATCGTGCTTCTTCACATACAGTGCTTAATTGTAATTGTCTTAATTGTGATTTTATTCTATTATAACTTTTACCTATAGGTATTTCTGTTTTAAGCCAAGGTGGTAATCTTAAACGGGATTTGTCTCCCTTTTCTAATTTTAATTTTCCATCATATTGTTTATAAGTATCAGCAATAAAATGTTCTAAGTCAGGTCCATCTTTCAATTTTTGAGAAAAAATTTTTTTTTTTATGTAATGCAACTGCTTTAATATAAACAAAATTAATATATAATAAAGAACACTAAATAGTTTTATATTTAGATATAATTTAATATGTACCGTTGAATGAAAATTACAAATAGTACATATTTTTGTGCGATTTGACTTATGAAAAGCTTGAAACATGATTATTTATAAAGAACATTCAAATAACCTCTTAAGAATAAAAAAAACAGTTCAACAAAATATTATTAAATATGATAATAAGTATATAATATTACAAATAACAAGCTTTTGTAATTTACTTGAATTTATAATTTTCTTATATATAGTTTTGAGATATAAAATATATTAAATATCTCAAAAATTATTTATTTATGACGTACTTATACATAATTAAAAATTTAAGATATGATTTTAACACAGAAACAATATAACTAAATATTCGTCTATCAAATTATAATAAAAAATCTTAATAAACAATTTCATATTTATATTTTGTTTAAGTTTAATTTACATATGACATTTTTTATAAAATTTATAATAAAATTTATAAATTTTTGTTTGTATATTTGCAAATTTTATTAAAATTATTTTTCTTATTTTATTTTTAATGACATAATAATTTATAGAACTATTATTATATAGAAATGTTTCATATTGCATTTTATAATAAAATTTAATAAAATTAATAATATCATTTTTTCATAAAAACCCATCCATATGCACTCGACCATATATAAATTTTGTTAGTTTAGCAACACATATTGACGTAATATCATCCGATCTTTAGAGCTTCTATGATTGGATGCAGTAAAGGTCGGGTGAGCGTTCGTAATTTGTTAGTTATTACGTTTTATATATCAGTGGTTCGTTTTGTTTTAATTCTTGCATTTATTTAATGAAAATAAATATTTGACAAACAATACATTATAATGGCAGATCCTGGAGGATGGTCTACAACACAAGAAAATGATTTTTCTAATTTTCAATCAAATGATAGCTTCAATTTAAATGAAGTAACTGGTATTGATGGTATGTAATATTCAATCTTTGTCAAATTAAATTGTATTATTTTGTTTTTAGTAAACATAATGAAATAATAATTTTTTATTTTTTTTATTGTATTTTTTTCTATATTTTATTTGTTTCATC